AAATACCCCTCCTTCGATCCGGCAGCCAGTCAGCCAGTCAGTCACTCAGCCAGTCGGTCTGTCAACAGCGTTTTGTTTAATGAGCTTTTTACGAGCCGTGCAATGAGTAGATATATCTGTATGTACGACTGTATGCAGACCCACAGAAGATACAGATACAACGAGGCAAAGTTGATGTCGAGTTGCTGAGTACCCACACATGACATCTACAGTTAGGACGGAACGTGAGGCCCGAGGCATAGAAATCTGAGTTGACCCCGTGGGTTGGTATTATCTTTTGGCGAATTCGGAAATAGCTCCTTAAGTAGGCAGTATAAGAAGCTAGATGTATCTTTCAAGGCTGGAAGCCCCTTTGATCCCAAAACACAATCACCCCAAATGGGTTAGTCCTTGAAAGCTTTAAAACTCTCATAAAGAACCCTTGGATAGAACCCTTGGGCAGTCTTAATGCCACTAAGCATTTAAAAAATCGAATCAGAGCACAACACTCAACCAAACATAAGCCCAATGTACAGATATGAATATAGTTTCATGCGGCTGTTTGATTGCGCGCTGTAATCACCTACCTAATAAATTAGAAAAATAGATTATTCAGCACCCAAATAATCACGGTAGTGCCAGTCCGCAATTGATTTATACCCAACAGTTAACAGAGGTAAAATTTATTGAACAGCAATTTCGAGCAAATAAATATCAATTGAGCAGGGCCATTTACCCGCTAGTGGAGAAAAACTTCTGGGGAAACCCTCGGGATAGCGCGATAATCAAAGCATACAATTGGTTTTTGAGGTATGAAGAGACCTGTTAGGTTTTAGCCCCTTCCTGACTGTTCTTCACTTTGATTGAAGCCGTGTGTATGGAATGACAGCCGAACATCAAAGACGCTGCTCTTCAGCCAAGTGCGATTGCAACTGGGATGATGATGAGGACAATTACAGTGGGGTGGCAATGAAATACAAATGTCTGCGGCTTATTGCCATATTTGATTGACTGCTTGACTAACTTTCCACGACCATTGCACCCGACTGCTTCATTTTCAGCTGAATTTTTTATAGTTTGGGGACGAACGCGTGCGCGTTACGCTTTCGGTCAAGCAAATCGGAATAATCGGCCCAAAGCTATATACACTGGTGATATACACCGGTAGTCATGACTGTGGCCCCCTGGCGCATAAATGCATAAAGAGCGAGACGAGTTAGTTGTATATTCGCCAAACTATTTGCATAAGCGGCACAGGCACCGGCGAAATGTAAAAAACAACTTCAATATCCGTTGTTCGCAGCCTCGTCGAGCGAGCAATTGTAACTGCCAGATACATCTACATTTGTATTTATGCCACAATCGACGACTGCAGTGTCGCATCTACATATTCGCGGCTGTATTTGGTTTCCATTTACGAGGTTGTTGTCGCTACCATTGCCCCCAAAGTTGGCCCACAATAGCTCCAATGCCATTATTACTCCCCCTGCAGTCAATATGGAAATCGAATGCTGACATATCGCGGGAAGCCATGTATTATTGCTCGTCAAACGGCCTGTTACTCGGGGGTATTTTGAGATTATAGTTTGCTGCATAAGTTTTGTAGATTGCATTGGATCTATACATAAGAAATCCAATTAGAATATTTATAAAGCTAGTTTATTCATTTGATTTCAAATGGTTAAAATGCTGAGGTTTCCCAATGAATTGAAATCAATTAAACTTCTCCACCTACGCATGAAGTCAAATAAAAATGGGAACGAGCTTTTTCACCATGTGCTCTGTTTGCCAGCACAATTTTTCTATACAATTTCAGAACTGAGTAAAATAGAATTCAATTTAGTTTACTCCTCCCTCCACCAATTTTAAAGCAAAGTCTAAATGAAACATTTAGCATTCAGCTGCTTGTTCCCCTGCTTTTGGCAGCCAGCTCGTAATCCTTCGGCATTAAATATGAAAAATCAATTTCAGATGCTGTACTTTGCTATAAAAACCGCAAAACGCTCGACCACAGATACAAATACAAGACCTTACACATTCACGTGTCATAAAGAGTGAAAGACTGAAAGCGGCAAACGCGAGGAAGAATGAAAATAATACAAGCCCATGCATTGCACCCCTGGACCCAAACTCATAACAGTTTCATTGTTAGTCGGGGAACATAGCATATAAACGCAAATGGCAGGAATACACTGAGGCAAATTTATTGGAACACTCTGTTAGCAGAGGTAGTGAAAGCAGCAAGGACATGGTTAAGGACACTTAATTATGATATTATTTTTCTATAAAACATGCGGGGCGCATCAAGAGATAAGTCTACGAATTTCGCTGTTTTTCCGACAGATTCTCGAGTGGAAATGTACGATTGCACATGGTCGTGCAGTGTAGTGCAGGGTATATGCATATGCATTTGCCGGAGGGCAAGCAAGTCAAGGAGCTTTCGGGGCGGGAGGTTCAGGAGTCGCGGGGTAGTGCGATGTGTGGTCTTGTGGAGAGCCTGGATCCCTCACGAATCAACCCCTTTTCAGAGCAACCCCAGCAACTGTGGTTCCCATTAACGCTTAGGTTGAAATGAAAGTTTTTGCCTCCGCTGGCCGATATTTGCATAAAATGTGCAACGGCTGCTGGCTGCTTGGGATACTTTTTATTTTTCATTTTTTTTATTATTTATTCATGCAACCGCTTCGTTTGCTTTCCATGGGCCAGCACGACTTGCACGTACTTTTTCGATTGCAGCTCGCTGTAATGGCATTTATTTGAAGCCTAGCCAAGTGGCTCACAAAAAAGTTGGCGGCAAATTAATGAAGTTTTACCACCCTGATTAAAACTTTGCTCTTAACCTTACAGCTCGGCGTGCATAAGGTCGTGGGAAAAGTTATCTTCCGGCACATTTCCATTTCCATTTTCATTTCCACCTTCCTCCACGCGATCTCCTGTCTATTTGCTCAAAGCCTCTCCCACAGTTTGGCTAGTATGAGTGTTTTCGATTCATATCGAGGGTCCGCCCTCATCTAAGATTTGACCCAGTTATGCTCTGCCCGCAATCACGATTCCCAGTTTTATTTTCCCATTTTAATTGTAGTCGCTTTGGCTTTCTGTTTTGTGGTCATCATTTTTTCTCCATTGCTCGGGCTTTAAACCGGTCAGATAAATAGCCGGCAGGCTGGTTTATTCAAATTGCTATTGTTGTGAATAAAATAAAATATCTGGAAAGACTTTTTGTGCGGCTCCGTGCGGACTGCCTTCTTTTTGGCTTTGGCGCACTGAGATGGATAGAGATAAAAAAGAAATGGATTGGGATGGGTATAGAAAAAATGTTTATATTATTCATCTGCTTTGAGGATGGTTGTACGGGAAAATAAGATTGGCATAACAAATATTGTTTTGTTGTTGTTTGCTCCTTAAATAACTAAATGGCCAACTTAACTTAAAACCAGCGATGGAAATAAATGATTTTACATCTAATTTACGGTGAATAACATGTGTTCGTGTGCATAAATATTTTCATTACCAAAATAAATTCCATAAAGTGCTTTTTATGAATTTCATAAAGGGTGTTTACACAATTCCAGTGGATAGTTCACTCAAGTGCTACGTTATTTGTATTGGTTTAAAAACTGTGAAGAGCAGAAACACAGAAATCAATTTCAGGAATGCAATTAGCAGACAAGGCACAGAATGCCATAAACTTAAACACACAAGTGATAGGTAAACTGCCGCTGTTCTGGCCATTTTGTTTAATACCAATTTAGGTTTAACAATTGCAGTTGTGTACTTAACAGCGAGAAATAAACAAAATTCGGCTCACACAGCTGGAAGAGATGAGAAAACAGTAAGGAAAGCATCTACAATGGCCCCAGCGAACTTGAAAATGGCAATTGTATCTGTTGGCCCCGGTGCTTAATCAAGTGTGAAATCTTTAATCAAGTCGAGCTCCCCATGACTGAGTGAATTCCCAGCTGCCGTCGGCCGAATCCCAGTTCCAGTCCAGTCCAGCCCCCCTTCCCCTTCCCATCCCTGTCCCCATCCACATCCCAATCCCCAGGCCAGTTCAAAATCGCAGCTCCGGTAACGGCTCCAAAAAGCCGATGCAACGCAGCTGTCCGATGGCCTCGGCTTTTCAGTTAGCCTACCTGGCTTGACCTTTTTTCCGCCACTCAAGCTGTTTTTTATCATTGGATCCCTCTTCGGAGCAGCCCTCCCACGCTCCCAGGCCTGTCAATTAAAAGCCCATTCGATGGCCCAGGCCCTGAACTGCACGACTCGTTGCCAGTTGGCTATAAACAAGGCAGAAAAGTACAAATGAACGAAAATAAAAAGAAAACGCTGTTAAGCTGTTGTATTTTCTCTGGCCACTTTCGAGTGCGAAATTAAGTGAATTAGCTGTAACTGCAATGGCTATATTACGGGCACTGGTTTGGGCCTAGAAAAGTTTTCACCGGAAATTGAAGAATTTCCATGACACTTGCGGGACGCTTTGGCTTTCAGAAAGTTTTGCCATGAATATGCAGGAGAAGAATATGTCACTATCCGTATGACTATAATGGATACTCGTATGTTATTAGATGTGTCAAAAAACTTTGTTGAAGCAGCGCAGGCCAAGTAATTTTCTGGTATAATAATTATGCAGACCGTTAACCACAATTCAGCATAGAAGTTATCAAGGATATTTTACCAGCTTTGCCTTAAATCAATCTGCCTTAATTAAGCTAACTTCGGAGATAAAGCTTTCAATGTTAAATTTTTAAACCCTTAAAATGGAGTGGACTTGTTCAAGCCATGTATCTTTGTTCCAACTTAAGAATGCTCTGCGCCTGGCAGACTCTGATGGACTCACTGAACCACAAAGGACTCTCTTCTTTGACAAGCAAATATTGCTTAACGTAGTTTCGTTCCAAAAGCTAAGGCTACCAGGTAGCGTGCTTATGGGCAAAGGAATTTTCCACTACTACAGTGTTACTTCGTTAAAAAGCTCGCGATATTACTACACGTAATAAATACTTTCATTCACTTTTTTGCAGTTGATGACAGGGAGGAGAGAGCTTTCAAGAACTGGAGGTAAGTGGAGATAGGGAAAAGGGTTTGTTCAGCGCCGGAAAAACGTACGCACACTTTCCAAAGGACTCAAGGGACGAATCAGTATCAATCTTAATTTATAACAAATTTAATGTGGTTGTTTTGCTGTCGAAGACAAAATTCCCCGCGGAAAAGCTGGAAAAGCGCCTACACATATGAATGCAAGGCTTCGGTTTTGCAGGGCTACCACCCTACGGACCTTGAATCCTTAAATCCTTGTCGTCGACGCCCGTAAATATGCCACAAAAAATATTGAAATGGACGCCATGGAACGTGTACGGCGAAACACACTTAAGTGATTTTATGGCCCCATTCAAATGTTTTCCAAATCAGCCGAACGTGAACCACCGAGGCTGAGGTTTTTGCTTGGTATCCATAAATTGCTTGCCAAAAACCTCAAGGCGTCTCCTTTGTTCCGGCATGTGAACAAGTGAAAAACGTTTATCAGCAACAAGTAGACAGAAGTGTTTCCCTGGGAAACTTCCTGATTTTCTTATCTTTAAGCTCCGCCTGTCGACGGTTCTCGATTGGCTTGGCTTTCCGATTGACTGACTGACTGAGTGACTGACTGACTGAGTGAATGACTGACTGAGTGCGATTGAAGCGATTGAAGGAGTGACTGCCACAAGCGGTTAAGGTCTTGCATACTTAACTAGGCCACATTAAAGCGGGTCCTTCTCGGCCCGATAAATTATTGAGCGATTCCCTGCCCCTGGCAGGATTCCTGGATTTTAAATTCGAATGCTTAATAATGCTTGGTGTTCCGTTAGACGGCCATTAAGCCCTGCGGATGCCTTTTTGGCCCATTCGATAATTGCTTTTCCCACACTCACCCCGCTGAAACTCTTTCCTCAGCACCAGCAGATAATGTATTTCAAATTGTTTACCGTATACGCAACGTACAACTTGACAAAAGTTTGTGGCAAATATTTACCTTACTCCCCTCTCCACCGCTAATGTATAAATAATTGCGTGTCACTTGGCGACTGAGCAAACACACACTTCATTGTTTGCCCCTGCGATTTCGAATTAACTTTGTGCCTGTGTGTTTTTCTCTGCCAGGCTTTGATTTTGATTTGAGATGGTTTTTTCACTATATAAGTCAGTTGACGGCCCAACACCTCGGCGTAAGTGGCTGGGGAGCCGCAGAAGGTCTGTCATTATCATAATGCCAAATGGACAGCTGTACTGCATAATTACCCACCCATCTGGGGCTGAACCAAATCCAAAAGAAAACCCAAGGGCTCAATTTGAGTTGACAACAAATGATGCAAACATGTTGGATCGCAAATGTGTTTCTTTATTATTTATGTCACATTATTATTATGCCATCAATTATGAATGCGAAAAATCAATGCCCAACCAGAGGGCAATTGAGCAAAAAAACAGTGTTAACTGATTCGCTGACGGAAAACTCCGGGGCTCAACATGTTGCAACTGACAGTCGACAGCTTGTTGCCAGTGGCGTCTTAAATAATGAAAGCCATTAAAAAGAATAAATGGATTGTATAAAAAATGCAAACAGCACCAAACGGCAATTGCCGCCGTCCAGAGGCTTTATGAAATAAAAGTTGGTTACGAGGCTTACGGCCGCATAGGTTGGGAAATGTGTTGGCCAGAAAGCGGTTGCTGGCTTTCCGCCACTTTGACCACTATTATTGAACGTGATTGGTGACAAGTTGCGTTTAATTGAGCCAATATACGTGTATGTTACGATTGCCTCTCTTTAATGCTATAACTAAGCGCAATTATCGACTTCACTTTAAATAAATCGACTTAAAGGGAGCTGAGGAATTCCTATGCTCATACTCGTAACATACCTTATGTGTAAATGTTTTGCTCCACTTCAAGCTTGGATTTACTTAGGTGAAATAAAGGTTTTGGCTTGCTCTCCTGGTAAAAGATGAAAGCATATTTGACACAGCCCATAAAAGACCACTTCCTTCCGACCTCAAGGTTATCTTTGATTCTTGTTTCGGTTTAAAACGCGAAATCGGAATGTCTGTGGCCAGAAAGTCGCGCCGACAAGTCTGGAAATGCGAGTTTGTCGTCCTCTGCGCGTCTGTTGTTGGCTTTGCGCCCCATAAATCAGAAAATAAATTTTGCGCGTGCAAAATATACATATATGAAAACGGAAGAGGGAATGCAATAAAAAGTTTTTGATTTTAGATCTCTTTATTTGCTTGCGCGCGGGTGAGCAAACTGAATCGCCAAACTCCAAATGAAACTCCCAAAAGGGAGACGCAGACCGGAAACGGAAGTGCGTAATGCCATACGTGACCAGAGCCCAAAGAAAAACGACACTGGTGTCTGTGGTTTGTCCACGGCAAGGTGCAAACAATTTTTATGATTAATTACAGGGCCCTCGAGTCCGAAACATCATGAGCATGAACATGAGTCAGTGGTTCTCTGTTCTTTTGTTGGCAAGTGAAACAATAGCCGCATTTGCAGTAAAAATAAAATCAGGCAGCCATAAAAATGTAATAAAGGAAAAGGTTTTTCTTTTGGAGTGGAAGAGTGGAGTCATTTGCTTCGTCTGGCATGCCATGTCGTAAATACTGATTATGATGCTTAGGCGCCACTTTATGAATCCGTTTTGTATCTGTCATACTCGTATGCACAACTCGTAAAAATATTAAGGTGCAATCAAACAATTTCCAACGGATCTGGAATATCGGTAACCCTTTCCGTATCATAATGCGTTCATATTAATTAATGACGTGTAAGCACTGCCCAAGTACTAAAGTTGCGTATTAGTAATATATTTGCACTGAACGGACCTGTAAACTTTTAAGCAGTTTCTTGGTAGTCAAATCATGTTTTCCTTTTTTTTTGGAGTATCAAATACCTTTTTTGAGTAATCCCTAATGGCCGTCTTGCCTTCCTTTGCGCTGTAGGCGCTGCTCAATTTTTTGGTCAGGAGCTTTAATTAAAACTAATTATGGCGGCAATTCTTTTAAAGAGCCCCGCCACAGAGCCCTGACAACGCCCAGTTAATTAGAAGTCATGCCTAAACTGACGTAATTGTTTGGAGGCAATACCGGTCCCCAACATCCCCACTATTTCCTCCAAACAACCAGCCCCTCAACCCGCCTCCGGATGCGGAGTGGAGCAAAGGAGTATGGCAGTATGGGGGCATGGGGCATGGGGGCATGGGGCATGGGGGCATGGCAAATGTGAAAGCAGCTGTTGGCCAAATGTGCGAAAATTACCTGCAAATAGCTGGCGAAAATGACTCGACTAGACCACGGCCATGGTCGTGGCTGATTTGCATAAGAGAGCTGGCGGGCTCAGCCGCAATTCAGTCATTCTGTTATTCTGTTAGTAAGTCAGCAAGTCAATCGCATCATTCGCATCTGCATCTGCATCTGGAGCTGCATCTGGATCTGCATCCGCCTGACTTTCCTTTGGAGGCGATTTCTTTCCCCGGCTACCGACTGCAATTTGGATGCCTCGTAACTGTACTCGCTACAAGATAATACTGCAATTTCATTATGCAGATCGACTGGACCACCTCAAGTCGACCCTTCTGGGCTCTACTTCTCTTTAAAGATGAGCGCAAAGGCAGGAGGAGAAAAATTACTTCGGAAGGACATTTCGCCGTAGGGCTTTTTGAAAAAAGTTTTGTTTTCCACTTTCCCTGTAGTGTAAGTTGAGGAAGTGCTTATATTGAGGGGAAAACAGCAAAATTAAGAAGGAAAAACAGCAGCACGAAATGCTGTTAGCAACATTAAAACATGACTTATTTAATTAGGACAGAATCATAATCAGGCTTAAAAGTAATTAACATTCTTTTGTAAAATCTTTCCTCTAGTCAAATGGTGAATAAGTCAAAATATTTAAATAAACTAGAAATTGTTTCAGAAATGTTTTTAAAGAAGTTCTTCGTCCTAACAAGAAAGGTAATAAAATAAGCAGTGTGTAGCGGCCATCTGCAAATATTTCAAGGAATTTTAGCATGAGTGGCATTAACCCGCTGTTTCCATAAAATGACTGCATGTTCAGTTGGCCTGTCCCTTGGCTGGAAGCCTGCTTTTGAGTTTTTTAATTATCCATGGCAGCGCGAAAACTTTCTCAAGTGTTTTCCCTCTCGCGTCCCCAGTTTTCCGGAGGGCTCCGGCAATTAACGCCACGTTTCGAGTGGCGAATGTTTTGTCCTGTTGCCGAAGCTTTGGGTTCGCGGCCTTGGCTCACTTATTAATTTGGCCAATTTACAGACGGAAGCGTCGGGCGGCAGAAATAAATGAAAATTCATATTTCTCGGCGGCAGAAATGCCAAGAGGAGCGCTGGTAGCGCTGGTCTGCGGCTACTTTCCCACAGCCCCGGATGGAAATGAAGATACACGCACCCACAGATGCCGCAACTGCCACCGCAGCAATAGCTTAAGCATCAGACCAATTTATCCGAAGACTTCGCGACGAAGAAGACTTTTCCCACAGTCATCGCCATCTTCGTCGACTGTGGCGCCACAGTGGCTGCCAAAAGTTGTTTGCCACAGAGGAGAGCCAATCGGGACTCGGATGGTTGGGTGCATTAACGAATCGGGACAGATGTACTCGTATGGTCGGATTTTTGATGGGCTCCTTAAACGCAAATTGACAAAGCCAAATGCTGTTGGGAAAGCTTCATTAATTAATTGAAACAAATCATTCGCCATTTCATCGGGAAAGAGATATAAGATGAAATCGTGTTGGTGAAACCTAATTAGCTGAATAAATCTCCAGATGGCTCCGTACCCCTGCCCATTCCAGAGCCATCATCTTCGTCAACTTGAAGCCGATTGTTGTTCATCCGCACGCGTACGGCTCAAATATTTCAGCGTAATTGTTTGGCCCAGCCCGGAGGTCTTCGAGTGACCTAGAAAATATGAGGAATATGGGCGAGTGGATGGTGATGAGTTTTGAGGCTGTCAGAAGTGGTTCCTTTCCTTTCCAATCTCTTCTATTCTGGCCAAATTGCTATGCTGGGCCTAGACAGCTGG